ACTTAAAATCTTTTTATTTTCATGGTCATTCATCTCGATATCAAGATGATCAATCAAAGGGTTTTTCAACATTAAAACTACATTTTTCTGATGGATTTTTGAAGTACATCTGTAGTTCTACATTATAAGGTTACATCCTTATATAAACTTTTTCCAAAAAAACAAGGCATGAGGTCGGGAGAACAATACATATTTGGGAAGAGGAATATGAAAGAAGGGTTAGGCCAATGGTGGAAGTGGAGATTAGGCATACTACGCCGATCCCAATCCTGCGGTTGTGGCTCGATGAAGGGTCAAACAACAATTGATAGCCCATTAAAAAAGAATAAAAAATAAAGAGTAGATCAACATGTAAGTAGGTTGATTTTTCAAACGGTACCACTACCTTGAAGACCTTTCAATCCATGATGGAAGCAATAAGGCAATTTGGGCATGAATGTTCGGCTCCTACCCCACACGAGCTCAATGGACCTCTCGTTCGAAAAAATGTTGAACTGACTAATGAGCATTTCAAGACTCATAGGGCTGTAGGAGGTAGGCTTTTGGTTATCATAACAACTAATGGATGATCAGATCAAAGGGGTAGGGGTAGGAGCATTATGATAAATTGTCTAATAAGGACAATATTTTTTAGGTCAACTGATGCAATTGATAAAGCACATGATTCAAAATTCATTTTGAAGTTGGTTAAAAAGTGCATAGAGGTGGTGGAAGAGCATTTGAAATGCTTTTAAAAACCAAAGTAAAAGGAGGGGTTTTGAAAAGCTTTTAAAAATAGAGGAATAAATACTAGAGAAATAAAAGGAATAAAATACAAGAAATACCAGGGAACGCCTTCAGGCCTGGCATTTAGGGTTAGGGCCGATATCAGATGTCTTGTTCCTTTTCTTTCAAGGTTTTGTTGAGCCGGAAAGTTGATGTTGCACTCCGGGGAAATATTTGTGCGTAGAAATATTCTTCTAAGTTTTAGGGTTAGGAGGAATGTTATTTTCTGCTTGATTTTAGTTATGAGTTATACGTAGTGTTATATAGACATTTTGTAATTTTTTTTAGTGTCACATATCAACATGTATTTATATTTAAACATGTATAGGCACGAGCAGATATGCCGTCGACACTTGATAGCGATAAGATAACTTTATTGAGTACATATAAACAAATTTTATAAGAGTGTATGCACTTTTTTAACACCAGCGTAAGAGGCTTTAGTGGCAGAGCTGTAGTTAAAAAGCATGAGGTGACTAGGTCAAAATCTTGTTCATGAGTGATTTTTCTTTTTTTTTTGGGAAAACTTTATACAGGCTCTAAACAATCAAATTGAAGTTTTTCTTAAAAATTTCATTAGAAGAGGTTGTTTTGATGTCCAAATATCCTCAAATTGATTATCTCAGCATCAAGATGAATGCACATGAGGAAAAAATAAATGGATTTCAAGTTTTGGAAATAGTGTATTTTGTAACGCGTTTTTGGGTCGTCAATTTTCAATATTTTCAAGTTTTCATAGATCTCTTGATCTACACTACTTTTGAAGTTTTAACTTTATAAATAAAGATGAAAATATATTTAAGGCTATCACAAATATTTCTAGTATTGAAACCAAATTTTTCAACACTATTTGAAGGTAGGCTCTAATTTGATTGTTTAGAGCCTAGGATCTATACAAACCCCACCCTTCTTTTTTAAATTCAATTTTGTGCTTTTTATTATGGAAAATTGTTTCGTGTGGGCTGGACCGTATTTCTACAATATTCGGTTCAGAGGTATAAAGCATCCATCTTAAAAATGGACGCAAATAGGTGATTCATTTAAAAACAAGCAGTCCAAATGTTTTTTAAATACGATTATTATTTTTAGTTATCAAATTTTTATTTTTTTTCATATTCTTGATGTCCATGTTAAAGATTATATATTCTCTAAAATATAAGATCAAATTATATTTAAAAAATATATTTATTACCAAACCCGTGCTTCTACAATATGCAGGCTGGCTGCATAAAACTGTGTCCTTTTGTTATAACAAAAATACAAAATCCATCCTTTACCACCTGCAAGGCTTGAACCTAGGAAATCTTCTAGCGCTACCGAAAAGCCAGTTTGAGTTAATAGCAATAAGTTGGCATTCTTTTATAAACAAAAATGTTTTGTCAGGGCTACAACCCTTTACCTCAAACCTTCACGAAAAATTGCAGTCTTGGCTATGAAAAACCTTTAAATCTATCAACTCACCTTGGAAAACCTTCAAATCTATGGTTGTCAAAAGAAATAAGATTTCAATCTTAAAAATAGTATATAGTATATCACACTATCTAGACTGTTCATTTTTCCCTACAAATAAATATTCATGAATCCACAAGATCTATACCATTTTTTGAACTTCAAGATTGATTTCAAGTCTTAAAAATAGTATATACCATATCACACTATCTAGACCGTCCATTTTGCCATAAAAATAAATGTTAACGAATCCGATGTACACTATTTTTTGAACTTCAAATTTCATATTGATTTTAGAGCCATTATGGAGATTTTCGACACAAAACAAGCAGCTGATAAGATTTGCAGTGGATGTTGAAAATGGAGGAAGTTATATTATATGTATTATATTTTTCAACATATTGGCCACAGACGTGTTGAGAAGTAATGGCTTCATGTACTAGATACTCCAACACATACTATATTCTGAGACCCACATCCGTATCCATGTGGTTAGAGGGTTTAACGATTTGGTCACCCAAATGCTTTTCTCAGGCTTTTGCTAGAATGGGTAGGGAGATTAAGAGTTGGGGAAATACAACGCTAGGGTTTCGTCTGCAAAATGGTCCTCAAATTACAGAAAATCCTGTTTTTAATTTCTGCAATTTTTCATAAGGTTTGGTGCTTTGATGGGATACGGTGATTTCAGCATCCGTACGGACTCCGGTCTCAAATATTTTCTTCCTAAAAATAGGTTTTGGCGAATATATTTGGTGGTTGGACAGTAATATGTGATGTTAACTATGGTTTGGTGGTCCTATGGTTTATGAAGTTTAGGGTTGCAATTTTTTTGAAATCCTTTTAGCCAAAATTTGGGGAGGGGTGTCTACAAAACCTAATAAACCTAGAAAAGTCATTAAAAATTCGGCTTAGTGGTAGACATATCGGTTTTTGGTGAAGGAGATAAATGGTTCAAACCATCGAAGTTTGTCCCAAAAAGCAAGGTTTAGCTTTATTTTCAATAAACTTATATAAAACAAGAGAAAGTATAGAACAAGACCATTTACCTTTGATACAAAGTGATCACATTAATCTTGACAATTGAATGCGAAATTGGGTCCTTACAACAATTTGATGTGAAATTTGATAGCTTGAATATGTCACAAAATTCGAGAAAATTTCTTTTGAGGATAGAACTTGGTCACTTGAATAATTGCAGCCACCCGATTTCACATCTAATAGTTAAGATTATTGTGATTACCTTGTATCAAATGTAAATGATCTCATACTATACAATTCCTATAAACAATGTCTCTTGTCTCCAAATTTTTGATGCTATTATGGACTCTTGTCACATTATCTCTTTTAGGGTTAGAAAAGCATGGATTCCAAGACAAGATACCAAGAACTCCAAATATTTCTTACTCCCAAGCTAACCACCGGTGGCCATCGCTCTAGTAGCTACCTTTTTTAGCAAAAAGTCCACATCCCAATGGGTAGACTGAAAACATGAGTCCATCAAGAATTTTGGCTCTTAAATATTTCGTGAAAATAGAAACAACGACACTGAAACACATAAAACTAGGATACAAGAAACGGATTTACATTCTTTGTGTAATTATAAGTTATTTGGATCCTTAACATAATTTCACAGGCTATAGCTTTTTAAAACACCTCAAATCCAAGTGAAAAAACACAGTTTGTGTTAGAAAACTTGTAAATTGATCATCTCCACCTAGATGATCATGGACTTGAAAAGAAAGAGCATTTTAAGAGCTAAAATGGTCGATATTGCAGCATGTTTTTTGGATATTTAAATTCCATAATCAGGGGCAGAATTAGATTTGCAGATCATCACAAGGGTTTCCAACAAAGCAATTGTGACTTTCGACAAGGTTTCAGGGTGTGGACTAGCCAGATTTCGTAGATCCACAGCAAACCGCACTCTCCTTACAACTTTAGGTTTATTCAAAATTAAATTAAGGACATCAAGTGTGAATCAGATATATGAATTGTATGATCTTCTGGCTTTCAAGGAAACTATGGGAATAAGAATAAGCCAGGACATGTATCACACAGTCATTAAAACTCACCCCTTAAGAGCATTGGTTTGCTTAACATAGGCTGCACCATCACCAACAACAGGGATACTTAAATGTTTTTTTGCTTTGATAAGTTAGAGATGACACTAATGAATCTAAAGCAGCTAAAGAGCTATATAGAAGGTAATTACACCAAGAGCCAGGTTTCATGATGAATTAAGCCAAGAGCCAGGTTTCATGATGAAATTTTACAAACCCGGAGTTTTGCCTCTTGGCTTAAAGCTACAAGCGCAAGGGCGACCTCACTGAACTGCAAATTTCGAGTCCCTGATAACCGCCCTGAAAATAAAATTCACCAAACCAACAATCTTTACTGTATTGTTATATAGATAAACATATCTTTCACACAAGTTATGGGCAAATACTTCGATCATTCAACCATCAAGTGATAACGAAACCCCTGCACAATGCAAAATTTATCAATGCACACCCCTGGTCACATTCCTTGCATGCCCAATCTCCAATGCCGAGAGTCCGAAAGACCTCCTAACCACTCTCTCTAACAAACCAGAATCTGACATAAATATACCATCACTAAAGCTCACAACCCCAGGATTTTGGCAATTAAACACCGATATAGAAGTCGCAGGTCCAAACCCAGCATTTACACTGAAGTGCAACAGACCCCTTGGGTACACAAACACGTCCCCTTGCTTGAGAATTTGCTGAAAAACTTTGTTTTTGGCCACAAATCCAGCGATAATTATGCCGTCGATCACATAGAGCATCTCAGAGGCCCTAGGGTGAACATGGGGTGTAACCATTCCATAAATGGAATAATCTATCCTAGCTATCGATAAGCCCTGTGTGTTAAGCCCTGAGAAAACTTCAGCAGTTAAGAGATTTACTGAAGATCCAACATAATTATCAGTGTCTCCTGCTTCGTTAAGCTTAGAACTCTTGAAATCTGATGCTAAAACAGTGGTTGGAGCCTTGCAAAAATGGCCATTAATAAATATAGATTGGTTGGGCATCAATGTTGGGCAGAGGTCTTGAAGAGGATTTTGGTCTCCATTGCATGGTATAGTAATAAATTTCATACAAATGGAGATAGAGAGGAAGAAAGAGAAACAATGATTGAAGCCCCTCATCCTTTTCGAGCCGCTTTCAGATGTGTCATGCATCTAACCTGCCATTGATGGCTGATATATAGAAACATGAGGATTGCAAGAAAAGGAAAAAGGTTGATTGGCGTTTAATTCTGGTTTGGTCTGGATTATGTTGCAAGGCTCAGCTGTGTATTTCATATTTGGTTTTGTGTTGCGTTCAAGGGAGAAGTTGGATTTTTACTTACCATTATTGGTGGGAAAAGATTGATCACATTAATAATGGTCACATTGCAAAACAATAATATATTTCACAATATGGAGTATCAGCTGATATACATGGTCTGGGCTCCACATGACATGACATATAATGCTATTACAAAACCCAATTTGTAAAAGTGCAAATCGCTCAATGTGGCCAAATATCGGTGGCTTCTGGAAAATATTGACCATTACATATCGACATGATTGCCAATATGTATCTATTTTTTTTTACAAATCCAATATACCCAAAAAGAACAAATATCAATCCCATTAGACCTACATCGATTTCAAAAAAATATTCATTTTATCCTTTGCATTTCCATTATTTTCAACCCCAACTAGCCTATTGTTATATCTAATATATTCCTACGATCATCCGTTATACGGTTTTTTTAAAAAATAATTAATTCTTTTATGTTCCTGGTTTCTTAATTGAATACATCGTATATATATGGGGAGATTTTGACGTCAGCATAGCTGATAGCTACAATAAATGTCCAAAGGTCCAGGCTGAATCAAAGCCGATTAAATGGCCATGATTATATTTCATATTTAAATTTCAATTTTTTTATATACAAATCCAGATGACTTGAAATTTAAAACGTCTATTCTTTAAAACTAGGAAAATCTAACAAAACATAAAAAATAATTCATAAAATATAAATTGATCAAAATACCTCTGAAACTTTCATAGGTATTTCGGTCAATTTATTTTTTACGAATTAATTTTTTAATATTTTTATTAGGTATGCCCTGGTGAGAAAAATTCACGTGATTTGAATTTATAAAAGATATATTACGAAATGAGGTCGTAACCATCAGATCACGTTTAC